ATTGTTGAAAAATGTAACATTTCATTCATAACTAATAACACTACTTGATAAATTAATAAACTAAATGTAAATAAACGGTATCAGCATTCTGACACATACTTTCTCCTATAAGTTTGTCAACAACCTTTATCATGTGTAAGCGGTGAGAGTAAATATGGAAATGGGATTTGTAAAATTTTGTTCAGAATTTTAAGGACTATAACATACTACATTTTTATCAAAATCATTCGGGCCATTTTTGGGAAAATCCGATTTTCCGTTATTTTATGGGGTTTTACTGGGAAAATAACATAATTTAAAATAACTTTTGAACCGTAATTTTTACAGAAATGGGATTTATTCAGAATATAAAGGACTATAACATACTAAATTTTTATCAAAATCGTTTGGGCCATTTTTGGGAAAATCCTATTTTTTCGTTTTATTATGGGGTTTTATGGGAAATTCCCCATAAAAAATCAAAATTTACAAAAAATAAAAAAGCTATCAAATTGTAAGAACCATAACATACTATGTTAATCAAAACAGGATTTTTTCTTAAATCCTATTTTGCGTTATTTTATGGAATTTTTATGGGAAAATAACATCATTTACAATAACTTTTGAACCGTAATTTTTACAGAAATGGGATTTGTATGATTTTGTTCAGAACGTAAAGGGCTACAACATACAAAATCGTTCGGGCCATTTTTTGAGAAAATCCGACTTTTCCGGTTTTTATGGGTTTTTATGGGAAAATCCAAATTAAAAATCAAAATTTCAAAAAAATGAAAAAAAAACCCTGGAGATACCATGGATTAGAACCTACATACCAAATTTCATCGAAATCGGACCACAGGTGTAGTCCCTAGCTCTGTACACATCCAGACACACAGACACACACACACAGGCATCACTTCGAAAACCACTTTTTTGGGTCCAGGGGGACCCAAAAGGAATATATCCACTCAAAACTCAAACTTGAAATTTTTTACGAAAACAATACTTTCTCCATATACTATGGTATAGGGGGAGAAAGTAAAAATAGCTACTTTCATATACAGCCGATTTTTTGGTGTATAAAATTAAGTATTTTTCTAACATGCTTTTAGGTAAATAATTTAGTCTTCTAAATGCCTAAATAAACATGTAGTTTGAATGTATTATTTTATTGACTGAACCTCAAAATCTAGATTAGTGGTAGGGAAAATAAAATAAACACTTGTAATACCGTACAGGATAAGAGTTTACGGTAAAGCTTAGCTGTTTCCATGTTTTAAGTAATTTAACTTCAAACTACATCAAATATACATCAATGATACTAACTTTCAGTAAAATAGTTTTACTGGGTATTTGAATGAGTCAATTTTAGTAGTTATTAATGACCAACATATCACAGGCTTTGAACGTATGTATTCGTTCCGCATATTTGGCTTAAAACACGAAATATGAATATTTGCGTCGAGTTACATTACGAACAATAGTTTAATAATTGTCCTTGGAAGGAAACACAGTTATCTATCTAACGAGATTGAGGTGTCAGGAATACCTCAAGGATATGGATTGGAATTATTCTTGATCTTTAATAATTATTTAGCTAGTCAAGTGTCAAATGGTAATCCGTGCATATTTTTGGACGATATTCCAATTTGTTTCAACGATATTAGTTGGCCTAAACTTAAAATGAACACTTTTATACATAGTAGTATATTGCTGGGATGGCTTACAGGTCACCTTCTTTTAGGGTGTAAATACAGAAAAACCAACTACATCAAATTTAAACTCAGAAATAATAGTGTATCAGGGGTTTCAAACAGTGTTATTATTAATTGCGAATTCTTGGTTTCACTATCGATTCATGACATGTTTTCGTAGTAAGATAAGTGACATAAGTATATGTGACATTTTAATTTTTTGTAGACTTGGAAGTTTTTCCGCTAAGAAATTTCTTCTGACAACCTATATTGCATGTATTCTTCAGAATATAGAGTAAACTATGATGAGCATATTATAAAGCTGGTATACTGTATAAACTTAAAAAAATTTAAATGAAAAGAAAAATAAAAACTGTTTTTTTTTATGACGAGGTTAGAATCAAGCAGAAGGGTCTTTTAAGTATTAAACTGTTTGCATTCATCTCTCACAGATCCCTTTGAAAATCATACACACTAATCCTATAGAGAATGAACTCTTTAATGTTCTACCAACAAAACTACAGTCATTAGTAGACGAGATAAGTTTTATGAAAAACGCTGATTTCGTTTTATTTAGGAGAGAATACACACAGTGTTATAATAGATAAATTTTATAGATAAAAAAGAATTTTATTTTTAAGATATGTTATTATTTGTTTGTTAATGCTAAATTAATAGTCATGTGACAATAAATATATTTCAGGTTTCTTATTGCGCCAAAATCCCACTAGAATGTAGGATCATTCCATTGACCAAAGCTCTGTTCAAGAGTGGATAGACAAGCTGTTTATTTGCATATGCTTCAAGACCGTGAACGTGAATGGGGTGAGTGTTACCATTTTGACTCGTGGCGCACTGCGGAGCGCGTCTTATACTACTAGTGCGTTAACACTATGTAGCAAAACCTGTTACATTTAACAATAAGATAGCTCTAAGATTTTAAATATAGTATCCCATTGAGTAGTTAAACATTTGAGTTGCTTTATATAAGAATAAAAATAGCGGAAAATAAAGGCTTCTATCTTTATTTAGTACAAATAGTGACCATTTTATTAAGGTTAATAAGACTGATATACTTATAAAGAATGCACTAAGAGCTTTGTTTTAATAAATTGAGTAAGATTAAGTAGCAAGTAAAATAAATTATAGCTAATTCACAGGAAATATATATAATTTTATTGCCCCTTAGAAATTAATAAGATTTTTCAACTTTAACTACGATCCAAAAGAGCTATATTTTCCATCAGATCTTTAAAGTGATATAAAATTAATAGTTTAAATAGTGTTAAACCAATTTTGACAACTGTCTAAGGTTTGGATAATGAGAATTTTGAGGTCTAGAACCAAGTAAAGTGACAATAAAAAGTTCCAACGGTGGATTTTAATATATTTTTGTTCTACTACTGCAAAAGCGGTTGCTTTCAATTCATACGTTGCTTCGCTAAAGTATGTCTTTTTGTCCTACAGGGGCAAAAAATGATATGATGATGTCGTGGCTGTTTGTGCTAAAAATGTATTAAAACTGCAAACTTGTCTAGTAATACGTCGTTATAGGTTATAGTCAGTCAAACGGCTTTAACATCACGAACACACAACCTTTACAGACAATCAGCTGATTTACAAGGTGTAAGGCTGTATTTAATAACTCTTTTAAAGGTAAATAAGTTGGTAAATCATTGTTTTGTGAAGTAGTTGGCCTAATATATGGAGTATTATGATGAAAATTAGCGTTCATTAAACGGGTTTAAAGCTGCTTTTTAAAACTCGCTCATTTTACGGAGTAAACCTGTATTACATCATCCATCGTTATAGTCAGTATAACTTATCACTTACACAACCATAGCAGACAATCAGCTATTTAAATAGGGAGAAAAAGATATAAGGCTATTTTTAGATGAATTTGTAAAATCCATGTTTTATGAAATAGTTATCTGTATTTATTGAGTAGTATGACGAATTAACATCACACAGGCTTTACGTTGTTTTCAAAATTCACTTAATTTACGATTTCGGATTGCGTCCTCATACGAAAAGCGTCTACAGTGGGGGAAGGTGAAGATGTCCACACAAAGCTGCCTAATCATTTATCTTTCACTCCTGCACAAGTGTTAGTGGAAAGTTGCCTAAAACTGTCTAAAGAATATAGGTATGATTGTTGTACTATATTTTATTAAGTAAGGATAATCAGACCTAATTTGCATAATCAGACCATAGGAACGGGGTTTATGGGAGCTTTCATGTGGTAAAATAAATGGTTTACTCATTTTAGCAAAATTCCCATATAGGGAATAAGCTGATACCGTAGGTCTCATGGTAAGACGTAGCCCCGGGACCGATTTCCTTTTTCGTTTTGAGGTCCCTAGATGCCAAAATTACCCTCCATTTAAATTAATATAAATATATATACATACATATAAATATATATGTGTGTGTGTGTATTTGTGTCCGCTAGCCTGATAACTCAGGCAAAAATGATATGGCGATTTTTATGATGTAAAAAATATTTTTTCCCCATGTTTGGTTAAAAAAATAAAATCTCAAAATTTTTTTCAGACCATCTTGAAGAGTTTAAAAATAGATAATTTTGAATATTGAAGTGTCGTTGTATGCCTGATGGTTATGGAGATAATGAAAAAAAAAACTTTAGATTAAAAATTCTCATGTTATTCTAATGGAGAATAGATCAACTGTTTTACTTTGCTTGTTTACGGATAGATTTTGATACTATTTGGCAATTTTGTTTATTTAATACTAAGCTATTAACATTTCAATAAAAAACACAACTCAATACCTTTTCTGTAGCAACAAACTAGGTACTCATTAAAATTAATGTTATTTAAATATGAAATAAATCTGATAATTTTCAGGAAACATTTTAGTATAAATCCAACAAGTAAATGGAAATTGGCTTAGTGTGCAGGTTTGCTGTGGCGAGGTTATTTTTAACCCTAAAAATACAAAATTTCCCAACTTCTCTCTATACCTTTTCTAAAGAGCTTAAAAACTAATAATTTAGTATATCATGGGATTTTGTAGGGTTTTTGGTAACGGAGAAAAAAAATGTTGGTCTTAAGTTCTCACGTTATTCTTATAGAGAATATTGTAAAATTTTATAGTTTGCTTGTTTATGGATATATTTTGGTCACACTTGGCAAAATTTATTTATTGTATAAAAATATATTAATATAAAAAAAGATTTAATTGAAAATCAATTTAGACAAATGAAAATTTGCTTAGTTGGCAGGTTTGTTGCGACGGGGGTATTTAGTTTAAATGTTAATTTGAAAATATGTCCAGAATAATTTAGAGATGAAACCCCATTTACAGAGGGCAGTGCTGTAGCTCGTGATTTGCCTGGACCTCTGATTTGTCTGGGAGAAACGTGAGTACATTACATGTACCAATGAGTAAACATTGATAACATTTCGAATGTGAATGTGAGTAATGTTGCATCCTCCCACAAACTACATTGCAAACTTATGTTTCTTTGTCTGAATATTTTATAGTGACTGTATAAAAACCTGTGTATCAGCAGTAAACTCTGGTTCTCAAACATCTAGAGATGTTATAGTGAGAATCCTATTATATAATACGTGAAGGTGATTTCTACGAAATACTACTCCTCCGTTAATAATGGACAGATTTTTACAAACAATGAGTCAAAATGAAGCATTGTTTGTGTAGATGCCCCCTTTCACCAATTCCTGTAATAAAAGTCATCGTGCTTTGCCCCACAGGCCATCAAATTCCCAATGTATTTCTTATGGATAAAAGATTTTGTTTAGTTAAATACATGTTAATATAACATTTTTATAATTTAAGAGAAAAACGTCTGTGAAATATGGGTCGGCGGTACATTGACTTTCTTTTGGAAACGGTCGTAGATGGACGTTCAGGGGCCTAGAGACAAAAGTGTATGTTTTGTTTGCAGTTTTCAGCTAAAAAAGCAGTTTGAAAAGTTGAACAAATCAATAATGTACTAGAGCTATTTAAGAGATGAAGAGCATCATACGTAAAATACTACGTTTTAGTCAGAAACAGTGGTAAACGGACTTCACAAGACCCAAAGTGCGAGTTTTTCACAGTTTTCGGCTATAAACAACGGTGAAAAGAGTAAGACAAATCTGTCATGATCAAGTGCTTTTAAAGACTGGAAGAGGAAAAGCATTTCGCGTAAATGTGTGTGTTTTAGACGTAAACCATAAAACACGATCATCCAGAGATCAAGAGACAAAAGTGTACGTTTCTTTCCAGATTTCTGCTATAAATAGTGGTGAGAAGAGCGAGATAAATCAGTCATAATCAAGTGATTTTGAAGAGAAGAAGAGGAGAAGCATACGACCTAAAATCCTGTGTTTTAGACGGAAACCATTGGACACAGCCATCCAGAGACAAAAGTGTTAGTTTTGTACAGTTTTCTGCTATAAATAGCGGTGAGAAGAGCGAGACAAGTCAGTCATAATCGAGTGATTTTGAAGAGAAGAAGAGGAGAAGTATACTACCTAAAATCCTGTGTTTTAGACGGAAACCATTGGACACAGCCATCCAGAGACAAAAGTGTTAGTTTTGTACAGTTTTCTGCTATAAATAGCGGTGAGAAGAGCGAGACAAGTCAGTCATAATCGAGTGATTTCGAAGAGAAGAAGAGGAGAAGCATACTACCTAAAATTCTGTGTTTTAGACGGAAACCATTGGACACAGCCATCCAGAGACAAAAGTGTTAAGTGTTTTCCGCTATAAATAGCGCTGAGAAGAGCGAGACAAGTCAGTAATAATCGAGTGGTTTTGAAGAGAAGAAGAGGAGAAGCTTACTACTTAAAATCTTGTGTTTTAGACGGAAACCATAAGACACGACCATCCAGAGATCCAGAGACAAAAGTGTACGGTTTTTACCGTTTTCTGCTATAAATAGCGGTTAGAAGAGCAAGACAAATCAGTCATAATCAAGTGATTGAAGAGGAGAAACGTACTACGTAAAACCTTGTGTTTTAGACGGAAACTATAGGACACGGACATCCAGAGAAAAATATCTTAAAATGGAAGCGAACAAACAAACTTGTGTTAAGTGTAACAAGACTGTTTTATCTAAAAACATTTTGCGTCACTCAAAAACCTGCCCTGGTGCACAGGTACGTACAATACAACCACAGACGCCTTGTGAATTGTGTGGTACATTAGTGACATTATCCAACAAATCACGCCATCTAAAAAAATGTACTACAAAACGTTCAAGAGATGAACCTGTTGCTCCAGCTGCAAAGAAACATTGCGTGGAAGATGATGTACACTCAAATAGCTCCGCTACAAATAATCTCCAATCATCCGTACTTTCCACAAACAACACTGCGATATCAACCAATAACGACATGGAAGAACCTAAACCTAACCTAGAAATTAAAGAGTTAGAGAAGGCGTTCAAGAATAGAATGAAAACGTATGTAATTGACAACACGCTTGCGATAAAAGACCCTGTAGAGTTTCTTCAACTATCAAGACCTCTATTTTATGATAAGGTAGTCGAGCAAGTGCAAAATGATAACTTAAAAATAAATATTGTACTTTTAACTGAGTTCAAAAAAACATCTAACAATGAAGAGATTTTTCAAGAAATAAATTTTAAAACTCAAAATGATATCACATACTCAACCACGAATATAGAAGAACAGTTACAAACTAAAGAAAAGAAAATCTTGACCGAAATGGAGGAGTTCCAGACTAAAGGATCAGGTTGGTCCCTGAATAGGATACTTAACATAGAACTAAGGATCAACCGCTATGTACCATTAAGAGGTTCTTCATACATAGACCTGCCAGGACCAATTAAAAACAAGAAAGCTATTATTAATATTGTAAATAACGACCAAAAATGTTTTTTGTGGTCAATACTTGCTGCTCTGCATCCTGTACATATGGCAGAAAACCCTAACAGAACCCAACACTACCAGAAATATGAGCACGACTTTGATTATGCCTTGAATGGAATTGAATTCCCAGTCAGTTTGAGTAACGTTAAACTTTTTGAAAAGCGAACTGAAATATCCATAAATGTATACAGCTATGATGAAAAGTGCGTTGTGTATCCATTACTGACAACCGATGAGGAGAAAGAGCAACATGTTGATTTGCTATACTTGAAGGATGAGAAGAATTCACATTATTGCCTAATTAAAAATCTAAGTAGACTTGTTGGAGCACAGAAATCAAAGCATTCGCATAGTATCCACTTATGTAGACGGTGCCTATCACATTTTGGCACAGAAGATTTACTGAAAATACATAGAGAATATTGTAAGCAGCATGAAGCAGTTAAGATCATTATGCCCAAAGAAGGTGAAACAATAAAGTTCAAGGACTTTAATAGGAGTATGAAAGTGCCATTCGTCGTCTATGCTGACTTCGAATGTATGCTTAGCCCAATACTGTCTACCAACAAAGAAGAAGAAGACACGTCAGGATCGTACACGAAAAAATACCAAAAACATGATGCAATTAGTTTTTCTTATTATATAGTACATGAAGAACACAATTATGCAACGCCAGTAACATACTTTGGCGAAGATGCAGCGCAGGTTTTTGTAAAGAGGTTGTTCAACGAGTCTAAGAAAATAAGCTATCTATATTCAAAAGAAGCTGCTAAGCCAATGGAACTTTCAGAGGAGGACAATATTTCTATATTGACGGCCACTCAGTGCCATATTTGTGGAAAGGAGTTTACAGAAGACAAACCGTTTGTGAGAGACCATGACCATCTTACAGGAAAACTAAGGGGTCCAGCGCACAACGCTTGTAATTTAAATTTTAGAAAACCTCATTTCCTCCCCATATTTATTCACAATCTTTCTGGATACGATACACACCTGTTTATCAAAATGTTTGGTTTGAATGATGACACTATTGATGTTATACCAAATAACGAGGAAAAATATATTTCTTATACTGTTCATGTAAAAGGAGGTATTGATTTGAGATTTGTAGACTCAGTAAAATTCATGTCAAGTAGTTTAGACATACTCGTTAAGAACTTATCTACTCAACATTTTAAGCATACTTCAAAGTACTACTCGAGTGAACAGTTGCAGCTACTGCAAAAAAAGGGTGTGTACCCTTATGACTTTATGGACTCCTTACAGAAATATGAATACACTTCACTCCCACATAAGAAAGACTTCTACAACAAACTAACCATGGCCAACATTGAAGATGAAGACTATGAGCATGCAAGAAAAGTTTGGAACGAATTTAATATACAAAGCATGAAAGCATACACTTTACTCTACAACCAGACAGATGTATTGCAATTAGCAGACGTCATGGAGAACTTTCGAAACATTTGTATGGAGACTTACCAGCTGGACCCAGCATGGTACTACACAGCACCAGGACTAGCTTGGAGTGCGATGCTCAAAACGACCAAGATCGAACTTGAACTTTTATCAGACTACAATATGATTCTAATGATTGGAAACGGGATACGAGGAGGATTATCACAATGTTCGAACCGCTACGCCACTGCCAATAACAAATACATGAAGGAAAGTTATAATGAAAATTTGCCCACGTCATATCTTACATATCTTGACGCCAATAACTTGTATGGCTGGGCTATGAGCCAACATATGCCTTACTCTGATTTCAAGTGGGTTGAAGATGTCCACAACCTTGATATTTTATCAGTTCCAGATGATGGAAATATGGGATACATATTGGAAGTAGATTTAGAGTATCCCCAAGAATTGCACGACCTACATTCCGATCTTCCTCTAGCACCTGAAAAACAAATACCACCCGGATCTAAACAAGAGAAACTTCTAGCTACATTGTTTGACAAAAATAGATATGTTCTACACTTTCGGAATTTGAAGCAATACATCTCTCTCGGTTTGAAATTAAAGAAAATTCACAAAGCAATCAGTTTCACTCAGAGCAACTGGCTTAAACCTTACATAGATCTCAATACTAGCATGAGAACTAAGGCCATAAACAATTTTGAAAAGGATTTTTTCAAGCTTATGAACAATGCCGTGTTTGGCAAAACCATGGAAAACATTCGGAATCGTGTCAACATCCGGTTGGCGACGAAGGAAAAACAAGTAGACAAGTGGTTGGCTCAACCCAACTTCAAGAGGAGGACAATATTTACGGATCAACTTGCGGCAGTACACATGAGCAAGACAAAACTTGTTTTCAACAAACCCATATACGTAGGAATGAGTATTTTGGACGTATCTAAGACATTGATGTATGACTTTCACTACAATGTGATAAAAGCACGATACGGGGATAAAGTTCAATTGCAGTACACAGACACAGATTCACTTACATACTTAACATATACTGATGATGTATATAGAGATATGAAGGAAATGCAAGATTTTTTCGACA